AAAAAAGAAAATATGAAAACTTACATTTAGTAATCGCGAATCATGTGAGAAATTATGATGAAATCGATGATAAAATTAGATGTTTACACATATTAGCTAATATTCAGTAATTTTATGCATTTATAACATTTTGAAATATATATTTATCATTTATACATAATAAGGTATTTTACGTAATTTAAATGAAATAATTATTTATATTTACTGTTCTTCTAAATGTTTATATTATAAAATACGTAACTTATATTTACTATTATTTTATTTTTTACTTCCTTGTACGAAGTAAAAAGGAAGTATTGGTAATCGCGAAAAGTTTCAGGCAGCATATTTCAACGAAAATATCCATTTTGACCGCTATCGAATGCAATTTTAACGATGTTTTTGCGTCGCATATCTGTACGTAAGGACAGAATAAAAGGACTCGCTTCCTCCCAAAAACGAATTGATTTAAAACTGCTTTTAAAATGAATTCTGAAGAGAATTTTTCGTGGCGCGTCTGTACGAACATGTATGTACGTACGTGCGTACGTACGTGTATCTCGCATAACTCAAAAACCAGTAGCCTCAGAACGTATGAAATTTTGTATATAGGACTGCTATAACAATGTAGATCTGCACCCTCGTATTTTAGGTTGCAATCGTGCCGCACCAAACGAAGTATATAAATATAATGTGTATATATATATCCACTCTGTTACCCGGTTCAGTGATCTCAGTTTCTTTACTCGTATATGTTTGAAAATTGTACATGTTTTTGCTTTAAAAATGATTGAATTATGTTGTTTTTATCTTCCGGTTAAGGTTTTTATGCCTTTAGTAAATCTGTATACAATACTTTTAGATTTATCAACAATTTTATAGTTGTTTAAGTGCCGCTAAGCCTTTTTTTTTTATGGCGGCCATTGATTGTTTACATTTGAAACAGCAGACTAGTGGATTTGTTGCCAATCTAGAGAAACTTAGCTTCGCAACAACAAAGATAACGCCTTCATTTATCATTGCCAATTAAATCATGCTTAATCCTTTCTGCTATTTTTTCCAGGAAATAAGTGTTTAAGATTTACTTCGTAATTTTTAATATAGATATTTTGAGTTTTTATGTATTTTTGCCTTCTCGCGAAGTGAGAACTGAATTAATTGAATGAGAAATACTCAATCGTCTGTGAAAAACTGTTTCTTTTTTGTTTTGTTTGCTTAATTTCTTTTATACATCGTTCTAGCTTTATTATAGTATTTGAATAGAACAGGTGGCAACGATTAGATAATTCTATTTTTTAAATGATATAAATTTTGTGCATTATGAGTTATAATATGAACGAAATATAATACTGTTAAGTGAATCTAGCACCAGAGTGTCGCTATGGTAAACAAATACTAGAGTGAATTTTAAAGACTGCATTTATTCTATTGTAGTTTATGCGCTGTAGGCGAAGTATATTTAATTCAATCCAATAAGTTTAAATGAAATGCAAGAAAAAATGCGTAAAATTTAATATACCGTATACAAGAAAGTTCTGTGGTGTACACATCAGATTTTTTAACAATTAAAATTGTAATAATTTTTCATAGTATATTCTGGTTTCATTTTTCTTCCTTCCTCCTCTCCTTTTCCTAATTCAAAACAGTCCATTTGTTAATATTATATAGCAACTGAATCTATATATAAGTTATATAGCTTTTTATATATATATATTATATATATATATATATATATATATATATACAGAATTTTAAATGTATTTTTGACTAGTGAAAAATACATTTAAAATTCTAACTGTATGTTCTTTTCATTTTTAATGGCGACGGTCTCTTATTTGAAAGTACTTGGAATTAAATGCACAGCCCCGTAGTCAAGTTGTTTTTCCCGTCTTTTCTACACGTACAGTTATAGAATGTTCTAGAGATATTTAAAGAGAACTGGAATGGCTGACAAGGCTGACGTCATTTCATGGAAGCTCCGCCTTTTCAGAGGCTATAAAAGGACTCGCAAAGGAATATCGGTGTCTTTTCTTTAATGTAACGATGCAGTAAACTTCTTACAGAAAATTATTAGTAATTCTTTTTTATTTACTTCGGAAATCTGATTTTGTAACTGCTATTTCTCCTGACCAATAATAAATGGATCCTTGTTTTTTAAACTTATCGTCTGATAATTTAAGCTACGACTACATCTATATTTCTTCACCAATCTATTTATTCCCGACAAAAGCTTGTACATCACATATATGCCATAGATGTTTTCGTAATTTAAATAACTTTTCTTTGAAAAATTCAAGTAGGTGTACGATGTTCAAATCGATTAATTATTGATTGATTAATGTAAGGATATTTCTACATATTTTATTTATCAGTGGGCTTATTTCCATGTGAGCATATATCTATGCGAGCTTTTTTCCGTGTGAGCATATTTCCCAATTGAGCATTTTTCCATGTGAGCTTTTTTTCTGTGGGCATATTTCTGTGTGAGTTTTTTTTCCTGTGAGCATTATTCCTGTGGGCGTTTTTTCTGTGGGCATTTTTCCGGTTACCGTTATCATCATTCCCTGCTTACTAGCTATACAAGTAATACATTTATATTTCACTAATATTTAGATTACAGGCGTCTAATATTTATGAATATATGAAGTATATCATGTTTATGAATGTTTACTGTGTGTGAAATGGTGTATACGCGAGGATACCTGGGCTGTAGGGTTGATGCGCTAGAAGGCCCTACAGGGCCCTATCACCTATTGAACAAAAGATTAGGTTTTCTAACCAGTCAACAAAAGTAACTTGAATATTTCTCCTAATCAAACTGAACAAAGATAAATTTTATCGGTAAATAATTTTATATAATAATTTTTTTAAATATTAATAGGTTTTAAATTACCAATAGAGATTTTGCATGCCCAGGATTTCACATGATCGATTCTAAATCGAAGGAAAGGTGTTATAAGTTGTCGAGCTGATGCCTAATAACTGAGAAACGAGTACTTATAAAAAATAAGCAAATGCCAACATTTGATGCTTTTAAAAGGTAGCGTAACAGTACATATAACAGCAGATACCAAAACAAGAGGGAGAAAATGACTGGCAAAAACAAGGCGATCATGCAGTAGAATGTCAAAGAGTGCAAAACAAGTTATATAATACTGTATACTATTATAAAATTTAAATATTGAGAATTGCCTTAGGCGTTTTTCTAGTTATAGGATTATTAAGTTGAACCATACATATTACTAAGTATTATTTATATTATTGTTAGAACTGAAAATTTTATCAAACATTTCAAATAATATGAACAATTTATCCATAGTATTATCCATGGCCTGGAATTCAGTCATTTTTTTATTAGAGCTTTCCTTAAACATAATACTAAACGAATAATCTTTAAAGCCATTTAATTCCTTTAGAACTTTGATGATATCTACAGTAGCACCCTAATCTTATGTCACCAGTTTGCTTATCGATGTTTACACGTTTATTCTGAACAATATTCGCATAATACACGCCAGGTGTGACGTTTTCAGTTTTATTTTATACGTATTTATCAGAATTAACACCACTGTTGAATCTAGCATTACCTCTTCTAAAAAGATTATTTGAGAAAATTTAGGACATCTACGATAATTTGCGCTCCACGCTCTGGTATACTGATGATAAGCTTTAAGACTAGACCAATGGATTTTAATATATCTGGTCTTCACAAACACTGTGCGTTTAAGCTCCCATGCCCACCAGTTTAAAGTGGCAATGCTAGTAATTCGCAAGTACATGACATCTCCTTAGTGAGATGTGTAATGCCTCCGTATGATATATGTGTAATCTCTTCAACAGCATGTGAACAAGCATCTTTTTGTGCAGTGTTAGTGAACCTTTGTGTGCCTCACGGTGCACTAATTGCTGGAGCACTGCCCAATAATTAGTGGTACAACATCCTCGTGCTCTTTTACTCGGTGTTTTTTTAATCTATGTTCTTAGTCACGCTACAATAATCAATGCCTTACGCAACCTAACTGCACTCTTCTGCACACATGAGTATTCACAACTCATCATTCATCATTCAAGATGTACCTGTATTTATATACAACAGAACTGCCCAACACTAAATTTGTGTTCCAGCCTTCATGTGACTTCATGTACTCCATTTGTCTTTCTGTGCCTTAAGTAATTATGTGTATGTACCTGATTTTTGTGTTCTCTTTTTATGTAATTTGTGCTTTGTGTTTTGTATATTATTTGCTTATGTGTACTCTTGTTGTATTTTTAGTTTAACTACCTACCATCCGTAACACCACAGCTTGCCTCTTCAATCTGTAATACAATCCTACTAATGCCCTTGTAAGGCCATTTACTTCCCTTTGACAACCTCAATAATCTCCTGGTGCTGCCTCGTGGGGCTCCACGGAGCTTTTGCTGTAGTTAGAGAAGGGCGTGGAACATATGCCTGTTTACCTCTGTTAGACACCAGGCGTTCCAGTCCTACCTCCGTAACCTACCTATCTATGAAGGGACGGACAATTACAACCATGCCTTCTCCGGGATTTGAACCCAGGCCCTTTGGTGTCTCAGTCGGCTTCCCTAGTCACTATACGCGGTACTCGTCTACAAACTGGGTTTAACTATTTTTTTAATTCAAATATTATTTTCTGAAAATAATGTTCACGCTGTTATGTATGGGGTTATCACATATAGCGATGCCATAAGAAACTTTTCGGATAAACGCTTTTTTCCTGGAGTATAAATAAGTATTTTGATGCAAAGGAATATATGCATCCAATATACAGATAGAATAATGTAAATGTAAATAAGAAGGTCGATAAAATTATGGCTATATCATTTAAAAAGTAATTCCGCTAAACAGATATTAAACGAATGCTGCCTCTTAGGCAGAACGAGTGTTCCAATCAACTCTTCTTTTATTTATGGAGAGAAACGCTAAATAATATTTCTGTGTTTCGTGCTTGTCACTCTACTTCCTTTGATGCAATATTGATCACCTTTTGTTGCTTTTGCAGGACGAAAACATCATTAGTTCCTTGCAATTACTGGACACGGTTCTGTGACAACCAATGTTGCCGTTAACGGCGTGAAAACACAAAGGAAGTCGACAGTCATGTTTTTCGCACAATGACTCTCTGCCTTCGGGGACGAATGGAGGCTTGCACTGCGTTGCCATTGTAAACATCCAAAAGTGCGTTTATTGTGAATCCAAATGACGTCATCGGACCACCAGAGTGCTGTGTAGGAGCACTGGGAATATGAATGAGCTTTTGATACGTCCTCAATCCTGTCATTATATTAGATTCATGTATATGTATATGCTGAAACATGATTATATATACATATATATAAATATACTATATATCTACATTAAAACTTTCTACACATAGAAACATTTTTCTTATGAGGCTTCTTCATATTAATACTGAAGAATAGATGAATCTTATTAATTATAGGTGCAAGCTTATAAGCTGAGATCTAGAAGGTTCATATCCATAGCTTTAGTTCTCATTCATCATAAATTATGGATTACATAATGTTATTCTTATTGAAATAATACAATTTATTTTAATGTTAGACTTCAGAAAGCATTTTAATGTGCTTAAATTTCAATCAAAATCTATAGCACAATCTCTTTTGTAATATAATTCATAACACACACCACATTTTTTGCCACTATCTCGTAAACTTGAACAGTATTTATCCCCTTGATATCGTGATATATTTAAAATCAAATTTTGTGATTTCGTGATGCCAGTTAATACGCCAAAGGAGATTTTAGGAAATTCGGAAATATTCGAGAATAGTACCAGGAAGAAATTGTAAAATTCTATTTCGTCAAACATTTTAGATGCCGCATAAAATGCGGAATGAATTATTTGCATATTTTTCATCTAAACTCTTGCATAAATATATAAATTAATACGTATGCGTATTCCTCTTGATATAAAATGTGGTGTGTGTGCATAGGTGTACATTTACAAATATTGAAAGCTTTGGTGCTGTTTATCTTACTGCCAAGTGAAATAATAATTAGTGTGGGCAGAATTAATACTTCTAGAACGATCAACGTCATTCTAGTGTTTCGCATGATGGATGTGTATGTTCCGTACTAAATTATTTAAGTTTTTGTTCATTTTAAGAATACTGGTTTATATGTATATATAAATTATTAATAAATGGCGAACTTAAGCTATATATTTAATGATGTTTATGGTGATACTGTAATAAAGGTGTGAATGTGTTTGTTGTTAGAATAGATAACTGAAAGGTGTATGGATGCAAGGGTAATTTGTTTATAAGAAACAAATGTACGAATTTTGTAAACTGTTGTATAAGTATACTGCTTGCCTGTTACTAAATGGATCTACTTTAAAAGGAAAGAAACGTGTGTTAAATGTTACTATTTTTATTGTTCTACCATTTCCTGGAATTATGTGAGTGTTAACATCAAAATTTGTTTCGTGATTCCTTTAAATGAACTTTTGAGCAGTTGAAAATGAAATTTCTTTTTTTATCTATTTAAATAATTTTTCCACAGTTATCATTGCTGCTTTTATTAGTTTTAAATTTTGAAATATTTAATAGGGGTTTTCATTCTTGATAGGAAATTTATAAAGATAATTTCAAGCATACCAAGGTTTAAGAGGCTAAACAAATAATTATTTGAGACAGTCCGAAAAAAATGCTTTTTATGTTATGTTTCGAAGAATAATTAAATTTTTGAATAATTTAATAATAATGATCAAACGTTTTGTTATTTCATTTTTGGGGAGGAATTTTATAAATTACTAAGGATTATACAGCTGGATATTTATCAGAAACAAATTAATATAAAACTGAACTCAAGCTCATCTCTGACTAAGTGTTCGTGGACTAACCGCGATTAGCACAAATTTATTTTGACAGGTCAGACTGCAACAACTAGAAAATAAACAGAGTAACAAACAGTATCCTCTCAAAGATTGTCTAAAACCTTAGCAACTTGAAGCGTATTTAAACTTTAACTAAATTACATTCTGATGGAAATTGACGAAAGTAGAAAGCTTTCAGATTTACGGTTTATTGGGAAAAAAATTGAAAAATTCGTGGAATCAAAATCTTTTATTTTCTCTTAACTATCTCTAAAAAAATGATTTAATTTAAGTTCCTCTAGTGTTAACTATCTCTAACTAACTATAAAAAATTAATTAATTTTATCTAGTGTTAATTATCTCTAACTAACTATAAAAAAATTAATTAATTTTGTCTAGTGTTTCAGTACAAGAAAGTGTTAGGCTTTTTCTTTTGAAGAAAGCATATATTTTCATTGAAAATAAAGCATTTCACATCAAAGCTAAATGAGCATAGTTGGTTTTATGCGCCTGAAACGGCTCTAAGTGTGTTCCTCCATCTTCGCTTAGATGACTGACATTAGCCGCAACTGTATAGTTGATTCAGATAAACATTTAAATTATTCAAATATTCATAGAAAACAAAATAGTGCTGCATTTATCAGAATTTTCCATCTTATCGCAAGTGGATCTGGAGTAAGCAGTAGCTTAATGGCGTCTATATTTGCTGAATATGGTAAGGAGATTTAAGAAGCGCTTTTTATCATTTTGGTAAATTACAGTATTCAAATTACATGAATTCACCAAAGGAATATAATGCACGAGCGATGCATCTAACATGATGTATTTTGCTGCAAAACATTTTGATTATTTTGAATACCGTAAATATACATGTTGATTGGTCTGCAAGAGCATGCCCTTTTATGACTCTACGATCGTTTTCAGGGATACCAGCTCATAAATCCAATACGCATCATTTCATGACTATATTAATGTAGTTGATGCAGTTTTAGGCAATATATTCCCTGCATTTCCGGCAATATGTTGCTGGTTTCACAACTCTTCAGTCAGTCAGTCATTCAATAAATATCTTTCTCCCTCCTTTTTAAATTTCTGATTTCCTCAAGGAAAAAAATGTACTGCCAGAGTCATAAAACATTTTTCCGTCATGGACAGATTCTAGGCAGTTCTATCAAACAGCATATTTATCTGCAGCGGACTTCCTGGTGTATTCTTCTATGAATGCTTACATAGCAGAATGATTCCAGCTTGAATAAAAGTAGATTTTAAGTAAGTAGAAAATGAATTCATTTTGAGAGTCTATTGCTTAACAGAAAGACTCTGAAATTTATGCATAACAGAAATGAAACTTTGAAGTCGGTTGTGAGGTATAACAAGTTTTGTTGGAAACGTGCTTTCACAAAAGTGCTAATGAGGCTGATAAATTTTATTATTCAATCTTAATAGTTTCATCCCCGCTTCTGTTTATCTCGTAAAATTCACATGGAATAGTTTTGCCATTGTTAATCATTTTCTTTTTCCATTACACAATTTTAAAGAGTATGAATTGGTGAATTTTATTAAGCTCCTCTGTTTACAATCATGCAAATGCGTGCATTATTCATCGCTGATGATTAATCGTTAATTTTAAAGCATTAATGCTTTTAGGAATTGATAAAATTCTCTCCTCAGATATGGTGCTTCAGGAATAATGAATAGGTTAATCTTGATGCAGATCTTTATTATGTTTGCAATCGCGCAGTGCCTAAGATGATAGGTTTGTAAAGCTATAAAGCTTCATGACAGAATATAAAATGTTCGATATTTATTCAAATTTTAAACTTTTAAAATCTCATTTTTTTCCTTTTATGTCCTATTTTTGTCAGAAATTAAAAGTTATATATTTGATTTTAATTTGGCAAATTGGTGCCCATTGTTTGATTTGGTGATAAATAATGGAAGTAAATATGGGTGTTTTAAACTAGGCCATAGTTATGACATAATAGAGAATCCTAATCATTTTCATCTAATCAAAGTTAATTAATATGTATTAACAAAGTTAATTAATATATTCTTTTAAGATAATTCCTTCCCCTTTAAGAGCAAATTAAGAAGAAATTTAAGCTCATGTAACGTAAAGTATGAATTCTACAGAAATTTCTTAAATTTATATTGTATTTTAAAGTTATTTAAATGTATTAGTTATAAAGGAAGTTGATTTAATAGGAGCATTAACATAACCTTATGTTATTTGCTATTCTTCTGCTTAATACAACTCTTAAAGCAAAAGCATGATTTTAAATGGTCATGCAAATAGCACCATTCCGTACAGCATTCCAAAGACATATTTTATTGAAAGCTATTATTACTGTAATACTGAGCTATTGTTACTCTACAATTATTACTGAACTATTATTACAAGGTGATGAATATTTTTCTCCTTCATTCATGTAATGACCACTTTTTATCGACTGAAATTATTTATTGTTAACTTTCTAAATATAACGGAAATGCCCTAGTAAAAATGAAAAAAAACTTATGAGGTTCTGAGATGTAATACATGATTATAAATGTTTTTAAAATCTCAGTTTTTATTAGGAGTGTCATATTTATAGAGCGATTTTCAAACACTCAGAAAATCCGAGTATTATTTCATAATGTAGTTTTTAATGTAATGTAAGTGAATAAAATACTTTTAATTTAAATTTTTAAATCTTGGCAAATTGTCATATTTTTGAAAAACCTAAATATCATCACTTTAAGAAACGTAAAATTAATCTACGTATGTAGGAATTTGAAAACCGTGTCTGCTATTCTCCTATAATTTAATATTTCTTGACAATGAAATTTAAAAATACACTTCCTGAGAGCTTTAAAATTTAAAGAATAGAACCATCACCTTTCAGACATTTTCTTAGCAGCTCATGCATGAAAAGCGTCCTTAAAATTAATTCATCAATTTAAAAGCTATTTGGAGGATAAATAAAGAGATCCCATGTTACTCCTATCGACCATCCTTTTCTATTTTAAATGAGAAAAAGGACTTTTTTCTGATGTATATAAAAAAAGGAAGCATTACGTGCTATTTTAAAATGTTTTATTTTGGTCTTGGGATGCTTTATATTTAGCTTAAAGAAATGTGGTGCAATTAAGATTGAACTAGCTTTTCATCTCTTTTGAATCTGTTTGCATGATTAAAGAGTTTTTGTGGTTTTAATAAGGTTTACTTTTTCAAATTCTAGGGAATGCTTTAATTACATTAAAAAACATTTATTCAATACTATTATAAAAAATCCCTCCTAAATTAATGTGTATCACAAAAATATAATTTTATCATATCTAATGGTATAAGATAAGCAACACGCGTGAGAGTTTTCATATTAAATGCTCTTCTGTTTAAAGATATTTGCAATTTTTCATATATATCTGTTAAAACTTACACTCTAAGAATGCATAAGTATCTAATGTAATAATATATCTGTTAAAACTTACACTCTAAGAATGCATAAGTATCTAATGTAATAATATATCTGTTAAAACTTACACTCTAAGAATGCATA